GGTAGTGATATGCAGTCTTTCACTCCAGCCACCAGAATAGTCTTTTTCTTTCTGAATTTCGCGCAAAGCTACACGAGGGCTATCTGCGCTAGCCGTCCCTAATTTAGCAGTGTAAGACTAGAGGGTAGGCAGCTAGTCATCACCACCCGCCGCCAACTCTTGGGTTACTCTTTTACCAACGAATAGTGGGATTGACCGTCACATTATAACGCCCCCACGGCTGAAAGGGCGAGCATATTTGGTGGATTCGAACCCGCGACCCGCAGATTGCGAGTTGAGCGCCCTAACCACCTGGCCATGCCGGGCCATTCAGTTAGTTTCATCCAAAGTCTACTGAATGTGATATGATCCTGACTCGGTGTGGAAGCGACAACTGTTATAAATAACAAGTACGGACACTGTGTTTTTGTCTTTCAGGGCTTAGTAAAGATTGTGTTTTTAGTGTATTACACTTTGTGTTCAGTCCATTTACTCCTGGACTTAAACTCAGCTGTTTACATTCAGCACCTTATCTCGTCGAATCTCTTTTTTTCTAGCAGACTTATCCGATATAGCTTTAGAATTAATTCAGTTCACCTGAATATACCACACAGCTTCTCCAAATGTAAGGGCTCAAAAGAATTGATCTGTTCTGTGTGGGTGGCAATAATCTTGGCAGCAGCGGTGTGGCTAAGAAGATACACATTAAAATTCGGAATCTATAGCTCATCTAGACTACATCTGTTGCTTGGTTGGCAACTTTCTTGTACCCAAGGAGCACTTCATCTGAACAAATACCAGAGTGTTGGCTTCCTCGTGCTTTGGACATGATAGACTGGGCAGTTCACTGGTTGTTTCACAAGAGATGAATGTATCTGGACCTGACTTCATATCTCCAAAGATTATCCAGCAGTTTTCAGGAGTGTTTTTTTTTATCCAGCTTTGACTGACACCTGAGCATGTATTCTTCGTTTAGAGTTCACAATAAAGGCTTTTCATTAAGATACTAGTAGTATGTCGTGTGTTTCATAAGATATTGTTTTGGTTTTTGCCTTTTCGTTCTCTATCTTTCCTCACATTTTCAATTTTCATAAGATGGGCATTATATTTGTTTCCAATGAATTGTATGAGATTACACCTTACTGGTCTAAGGTCAAAGAACTTTTGCACATACCTCCAGCTCTGTTAGATTCCTACTGCCTATATCCTGATATTTTTGTGCAACTCCTATTCCATCTACAGCTGAACTCGTTTATTCCAACCAAATTATTACAACAGATCTATCTGTATCACATCATTATACATTATTGCAGTAAAAACATTCTGACAACTAACCACCTAGTGTTAGTAAAGCAAGAAAATGCGAACTATAAAATCCAATAGATTAATCCTAGGTGTGGCAAAGGAAGTGCCTGTTACAGCTAATCCACAAGATAAAAAGAATTATGGATCGCCTACGAAAATGTCTAAAAAATCAAAGGTTATCCATGAAAAAAAACAACAACAACAAGGTTAACTGAATAAAAAGATAACAATAAGAAAAAAAAAGGCTCCCGAAAACATAATAGTGCTGTAAAATTAACCCTCTTATGAATTTTTTGTTGTGCATACCGTTGTGCAACTGGGGGGGGGGGCATAGCACAGATAGTCCATCGCGTAGCTTTGCGCTTAACTACAAACAAACAAAATTATTATAGCATCACAAAGTTCGCAGAAGAATTATATCAATTAGTTTTGTTAAGAAGATGAGGACCTGTGAAGAGTTTCTACATTTTATTTTCATTGACTTGAAAAATGGAAAGAAAGGTTAGCTAAAGTACGTTGCTAGGAGACTAAAGATATCTAGAGATCCTTTTTTTGTAATAGACTTAAAATTTTGAATTACTAGGTAATTAAAGATATCCAGAAGTGTATTTTGTAATATATTTAAAGTTTTGATTTACTAGAAGACTAAGAATATCCAGAGATATTATATTAATATATATATTGCGAACCTTGGTGTCTGACTGACCATTCGTTTGTCTCCTGTTTGAAAAGCTGTGCACGCAGGCAAAGCTCAACATTCACCTTTGAAATGACGGGAAAACAGGCATGAATAATGTTGATGCCAAATTTTATTTCACAAGCAGGATATTCTACACTAAATTGGAAGGAATTAATCCCACTATCATTCACATTTCAAAATGTGACGTAACTTAAAGAATAAAAATGTAGATTTACTATACGTTATTTTTGAGCAGCTCTTAGCATGACTGAAATGCTCAACAATTATTTTTTGCGGTGGGTGATATACGTAGCTCAGAGCTTTGGCTCCGAGTGAAACCAAGAGTGGAACACAATTAACC